CATATTTCAAAAGAGCAGTTAAGATCTGGCTTTTCTTTCTCTTTAAGCAGATTGATACATCAGCCTTTGTTCTGAAGGATAATGTCTAGACATAAAGATTTTGTAAATTACTGTAATTTACTGAGAAAAGCACTTGCCATTGAGCATGTAATCTGTGATCCTTTTTATATCTTGTTTTGCTTATTGTAGTTAAATATTAATCACTGTACAATATTATCAAGTTGTGAAACTGGTGGCTCTTGTAATTGAAATCAATAAGCAACTGAGTGGAATGGGCTACCTCCATAGAGTATAGGAGTTTTAGTCTAGCCTTCTAACTGGAAGCAGTGGAGTTAACCTTCTTCTTTAAGGCCCATCAGATGGCCAGAATGGCATACTATATGTAAATCAGTAATAAATTCATATGTTGTATCATTTTTTAAATTATTGTGAATGTGGTTATGGGTTTTTTGTGTGGGTTTTTTTTTTTGCTATCATTGTTTTCATGTGTGTTTTAGAAATAGCTAATGATATATGTATGCCATTCATGTTCAACAGAATAAATGGGAATGATCTGATGATGCCCCATTATTAAATATCAGCATGAAAAGTACCCCGTCTTCCTTCAGTATCCTTCTTCTGGAAACATACAACTCTGTTTTCTGATCTAACTGTTACTTTACTAATCTGCCACCCAATTCTTTCTCTAGCAATTCTGCGAGGCTTGAAAAAGAAGGGGATCCAGCAACCAACTCCTATCCAGATACAGGGAATTCCTACTATGTGAGTGTTGCAAGAGTACTGTCAGCCTGCTTCTGAGAGGTCACTACTAAGCACTATGCGAAGAATGCAAAATTTTATATTAATTATGCTCTCTATTTTCGCTGTATCCCCATGGTAAATCCATAAAGAAACTGAACTTTAAAATCGTGTACCTTTTATTATGGCAGAAGTGTTTAGGTGAGGGAGTCAGATATTGGCAAAGTTCAGATCTGTTTTTAACCACAATAAATATGCGGGATATTTGATGCTGCAAGATGATTCGCTGCAATCCTCCCCCCCTAGCAGGGATTGGTCCTCTTCATTTTCTGGAAAGTGGTAAATTGCTGGTTTGGGATAGTAAAGTTGGAGCCTGGAGATTACAAAGAGGAATGAATCCAAATGATGGATTAGGTACCTGTTTTTTCTTGGTTTTTGTTTTATGGTTTATTGTTGTTAGCCATCTAGAGTTCTGTTCACAGAATGGGTGGCCATATAAATCATTTAAATTTAAATCTATCATTGCAAGGATCTGATTCATATTTATGATGGTTGCAGCGCCTCGGAGTCATGTGAACAACTTTTGTGACCTGACAAGCAAAGTCAATGTGAAAGCCAGATTCACTTAACAACTGTGTTACTTAAGAATTGCAGCGATTCACTTAACGACTGTGGCAATAAAGGTCATAAAATGGGGCAAAAATTTACTTAGCAACTGACTCGCTTAGCAACAGAAAAAGTTGGGCTCAATTGTGGCTGTAAGTTTAGGACTATCTGTACTGCCATAGTCTTGCCATGCATGGCAGTTCAGCTCTCCACCCCTCTGACTAGGGCAACCGAAAGAGCTTTTGTAGCCCTGTTTGTTCTAACTGCAGCATTTTCTCCTTTACTTTCCTCCACAGACTTTCCGGTAGAGACATGATTGGTATTGCCTTCACTGGCTCTGGCAAGACCCTTGTGTTCACCCTCCCGGTTATCATGTTTTGCCTGGAGCAGGAAAAGAGGCTGCCATTTTCCAAAAGGGAAGGACCGTATGGGCTCATCATCTGCCCCTCAGTAAGTCCCCCGGGTTTCCCTGTGCATGTGCATTCGGCATGGGGAGTGGTTTGGTCAAGAGAATAAATAGGCTGAGTGACAGCAGTCCCTAGCTCAGACATGTCAAACACAAGGCCCGGGGGCCGGATGCGGCCCNGCATTCAGTCTTAGCTCCACAAGGCCGTCCAGAAACAACGAGGAACCAGCCCCTGCTGTGTTGGCCCCACCCCCTGGGTGCATGCTGGAGAGGTGTCACCCTTTGTGAGGAATGAAGAAATGGATCATGCCTTGGTGCTTGCCCCGGTCCCACCCCCTTCTGCCAGAGACCCTCAGATCTGTCCCACTCCTGCCCAGGCCCCCACAGGCACCCTTGACACTAACGATGTAGAGCTGGTCATGCCCACCCAGTAGGCCACACCCACTCCATCCACGCCCACCCATTAGGCCGCACCCCCCCCCCCCGGCCTCCCCGAGGGCAACTGCAATGCTGATGCGGCCCTCAATGAAATTGAGTTTGAGACCCCTGCCCTAGCTGATCAGGTTTTTGTTTCCACAGAGGGAACTGGCTCGACAGACTCATGGCATCCTGGAATACTATTGCCGCCTGCTGCAGGAGGATGGGATGCCTGCCTTGCGCTGTGCTCTTTGCATCGGTGGCATGTCTGTGAAAGAACAAATGGAGACTATCAAACAGTAAGGGTGACATTTGAAGAACATTTAAAGCAGAGTGGCTACATTTTCCCTGTGTGGGGGTTAAGGAAGCAAAGCAGTATTCAGCTACTTGATCTAATACGCTTTCTTCCTCTTCCTACATAGTATAAAAAGATTGCGCTTTTATTGGCAGTAGGATTGGCCTGTTATTTCTCAGCTGCAGAAATTCCTCTTTTGAAAAGATGTTGATCTCTATCTCACTGATACTGACTTCATACATATCTAAATCTGGTTCCTGCCTTGCTACGAGTCCAGAGCAAAAGCCACATTAATCTAATTTTCATTGTTGAAAGTAGGAAACCACAGCTATTTCTACATGCAAAAATAGATAGTGGGTTGACGTGGTGCATGTGAACGCCCATGCACATGTATCATCCTGCCCTCGCATCGGCTTGCTGTGCTTCACCAAGATGACCAGGTGCTGTGCTTCACCAGGATGTGTGGCATATGTGGCACAGAATTACCAGTTATTCCACTTTTATTGGCAGTGATCCTGAATGATATCCCTGGGAAGGAAAGAAAGCCTCATTGTTTAATGATCCTGCTCCAGTGGCATCTTAGGAAGCAGCAATCTGTTCCCACCATGTAGGAGTTGATCTGCTGGATGGTGATAAAAATAGGAAAGGCCCCTAGAGACCCTGAAGCCGTAAATAGTAGCCAAGATCTGTGTAGGTACCACATTTATGAAATGCAGTTTCCCTGGTGAGATACAGAGGCTTCACAAGGGAATAACCATATTTTTACTCTTATGTTTCTGTTATTGTTACTAGTACGGGGCCCTTTGCAATGTTCTAAACCTTCTGTTCTCACAGTGGTGTACACATGATGGTGGCAACCCCAGGCCGTCTCATGGATCTATTACAGAAAAAGATGGTCAGTCTGGATGTCTGCCGCTACCTGGCTTTGGATGAAGCTGACAGGATGATTGATATGGGTTTTGAAGGAGATATCCGCACTATCTTTTCCTATTTCAAGGTACTAGGAAGGGAAGACTTTGCTCCAAATGTGATCCCAGTCAACCTTTGAGCATATTCCTTGATTATTTTTCTCTCAGCCTTATGCATTTTCTGTACCAGAGATGTGGCTAATGATAACTGTGGTATTTTCCTGGTCGAGATAAAAGCTTTAGGTTAGTAGTAGACATAAGATTTAATCTGCACCTGATAGGATCTTATTTGTATGTTGGAGGTAACCATTTGTTGGTCTTACATAAACCCGACAAAACATTAAACTAATTGGAAAGATTGCGAGGCAGATTGGCAATCTGGTACATGTGCTCTTTTTAGAAATCAAGCACTGAGTAGGTAGCACAGATGTTTGAATAATATATTGTGAACAGCTACTTATCATAAAAATTCTTCTTTCTCAATTACGAGAAAGAAGAGCCAGTTTCCTTGAGAATATAGGATAAAATTTAATGTTTGTCCTGCCTCTTGAGATAATTTGTCTTAGTTCATAGCCAAAAAGCTATGTGGGCCTCTAAGCCCTTTTTCCTCTGGCTATTAGAAATTCTGCCACCTATTGTTTTCTCTTTCCTCTAGTACAGGCATGTCAAACTCACGATGTCACGTGACGTCACACGACATATTGCGACTTTTTCCCCATTGCCGGCAATGGGGTGGGCGCGGTTTTGTTGTGATGCATCCGGCCCGCGGGCCGGCAGTTTGACATGCCTGCTCTAGTACCTCCGTTCTAGCATATGAATTCTTGCAAGGCAATATTTATGCCTTTTCAAACTTACTTTTCAGAAATGAAAGATGAGATTTGCAATGTTATAAATTGCTTGCCTAGTACGAATATTGGTCTGTAATTATTCAGACCTCCGAATGCTATAAAATGTATTCTGTGACCAGGTCTGGGAGCAGAATTTTTAGAGTGGCATCAACAAAGCAAATTGTCCATTATTTCTTTTTTTTTAAAAAAAATGTTTTATTAATTTTTTAACATAATCACCTTAATATTCGGTAAACAGTGTGTTGTCTGGGTTTACATTTAAGAAACATTCACTAACAGTTGATTTCTGTAATCTATAATCCGCATAATCACTTTACTTGATTTCCTCCTTTCCCCATAATGTTCTCTTTTACCAACCTTAAGTTAATACAATTCTTGTTGTTTTAATGAATGACGATTGAGTATAAAAGTTTTCTAATATTTCTACAGATAATAATCACATCATATAATATTCCTTTTCTATCTAGTCATTCTGGTTGTCTCATCATAGATCCTGTTTACAGTTCTTGTTTACATTTGTTTTTCCCACAATGTTCAAAACATTCTTACTGGTTAAGATTTTCTCAAAGTTAATTACATTTAAATATTTAAGTCAATTTTTTCTCATGTAAGCCAACCCAATACTTTTACCTTTCTTAAGGAATAAATAAGACTAAAAAAAGAAATAATAATAATAATAATAATAATAATAATAATAATTATTATTATTATTATTATTATTATTATTATTATTATTATAATAATAATAATAATAAGATAGTATGCTACTTAAAATCCCTATTTCCTATAAGCTAATACATATTTATTTCCCCCCCAAAAATCGTTCTTTTTTACCATAATTAAAAATATATTTAATCTTTAAATATTCCATTTAATAAATCTAGTCCTCTAGTCTTTTAACTCTTATTCAAAACATTTTTAATCCATTGTAATTTTCTTAAAGTCAATCACCTTTAGATATCTAAAACATTTATATAAGCCATTCCAACTCTTTTATATTGCTCATATCAAGAAATAAAATAAAAAAGAAGAAAAAGAAAGTACTATGTTACTTGAGGGGCTCTTCCCTGTTAAAGTCAAATTCACATCCAAAATTTTTCTATTTCTTTAACCTTATTCGAACAGGTGTTTCTTTTTTAAATATTCTCTCTGATAGGCCCCATCGTCTATTTTCTTAATTTTCACTTTAGCCTTTTTCTTTTGCCCAATCTTTCTTAATATGTTCTGCTGAATCAAAGAATCTTTCCATATTCTTGTAGGTGTTATGTAGATATAAAAGATAAGTCAAGTACAATATCTTTGTGAAAGGCATATGCCCATTCATTTTTGTTGAAAATCTTTTTCTTTCTTTTTCTCTCTGCTTCTCTTACCATTTTTTGTCTCTCCAGTTCTAGTGTTTTTCCTGGCATCTCTGCAGTCCATTTTGTCAAATCTTTTTTCTTATCCTCAAATTTGTTTTGTGGTTTTAAAGTATAAGTTGTCTTTTCCAAATCCAGTATTTCTTGTAATTTTTTCCCCACTTGGGTTAAATCATACTTTTTTGTTTTGTTAGGTTCCATCTTTAAGTCTCTATCCTCAAATTTGTATTCAGTTGTCTGTTTTATCTGTTCCTTCTCTGTGGTTGTTTCCTCGGGATTTTTTTGTTGTAAAGTTAAATTGGAGATGAATTGGTTTATATTTTCAAAGTTATTTTGGATTTCTTTGTGGTTTGAAATCATTGTTATTTGAATTAGTTGCAACATAAGGTTCTTTCTATAAATCTCTGATTTTCCATGATGACCGAGAATCCAAATTTTCTTTTCTCTGCAAATAGCTTTGGAGTCAGAGTTAAATAGATACTTGTAATCCAGAAAGTTCAAAAAAGTTTTTTTTGTTTATTCCCTGAAGTTTGTAAGTCTCACTTTGTCTGCAGCCCAGATTGTTTTCTTTTTTGTCACAGCTGTTCTCTATTGTTAGAGCTTTGAAGGTCACAGGTAGAGATTAGTTTTTTTCAGATTTTGCCAAGTCCTGCATGAAAGCCATAGCTGTCATAGTCTTCATCCACCACTAGATGTCAGCACTGGTTTATTTTTCAAATTTTCAAAATGAACAAATTGCCTTTAAAATGAAAATCTTAACCATTCAGTAATTTCAAACTTATCCAAAGTTAGGTTTTATAGTCATTTCATTTCATTTCAATACGTTTTGGTTAATTTGCCGCTTCCGTTAGTAAAAGGGTAGGGCAAAAATCCCCCTCCTTCACTTTCAGAGGTTTTTTGCTTCTTGGGATTTTTTTTTCTTCAGAAAAGTTGATAAGTAGGATAGAGAAAATCAATGTTCTTACCCAGATTCAAATGCGCTGTTTACAATCAGCTTAAAATAGTGCTTTTGACTTCGGTTGCTTGCAGCTTGGGCTGGACTCTGAAGTTAGGCTAGCCTTTCTCCTGTTGATTTCTGGAAGGCTTCTCCTGGACCAATCGGGTCGACCGCCGTCTCTCCGAGGTCCCGGGGATTTTCTTCCTTCTTTGCCACCTCTTTGGGACGGCTTCTGGCCCATTTGGGATCCCCTAACAGGAAGAAATTCATTGAAAGGCATGGAGTCCCGAACCCCTCGATTGCTACGCTGCTGTGCAGGACCGGAAGTCCCATCATTTCTTATTTACCATCTGTGCTTCTCTTTTAGGGACAACGGCAGACCCTGCTCTTCAGTGCCACCATGCCTAAAAAGATTCAGAATTTTGCAAAGAGTGCCCTTGTAAAGCCAATCACAATCAATGTGGGACGTGCAGGAGCTGCCAGTTTAGATGTCATACAGGTATGTCACTAGTTTAGAGCACTTCCTTAGCCTGGGTCTGATTGTACTTCAAACTGTACTGCGTAGGGAGTCCAAATTATAGTGAGCTCCCTGTGAGTTCTTTAGTTTGTGGGTATTGGGTAAGACAGATCTTAAAATGTTCTGTTAATTTATTATTTAATTATTATAACATCTTATTCAGCAACATTATCTTTATTCATGCATAATCTCGACCTTAGTTTTTCATATCTATACTCAATACTTCAAGGTCCTAATCTGTTGAGCCCTAATGAGCCATCCTGTGCTGACTTCTCGGTAGTATCTTTCACTATGTTTCTCTGGTTCTATCTAGGAAGTAGAATATGTGAAGGAGGAAGCTAAAATGGTATATCTACTTGAATGTCTACAGAAGACTCCACCACCTGTAAGTTCATCCCTATCCTGATCTGATCTGATCACTCCCAAAGTCTTCTTATCTGAGTTTTCTGCACTTGTCATAGAAAAGGAAGCAGTACTGCATGAAAACAGTCTGATTTTTGGCTGTTGTGTCATTGTATTTTATCTTATTTTTGAAACAGGTTCTCCCTTTGAGTAAGGGACTGGAGTACAAGCATCACTTATCTTTTGCTTTCTTTGGCAGGTTCTTATTTTTGCTGAGAAGAAAGCAGATGTAGATGCAATTCATGAATATTTATTACTCAAAGGTGTAGAGGCTGTGGCCATACATGGTGGAAAAGGTCTGTGAAACCTTTTGGTTTTGAATAAAAGTACTCCTTTGGTCCTAGACCTAAAATGCAGTAATCTGAAAGTGCAGGAACTCGATATATGATATGATTTTCTGACTTAACTATAGTTAGATTAGATATTTTGAAAATATATCTTCCTGTGAGCCACAGTTCTAGCTTGATTAGAAGATAGGACGTCTTTTATATCACAGAACTGCAATGATGTGGTATGAAGCATGGTAAAGGTTAGAAAAGGATCTAGAAAAGAAGATTCAAGCAGGAGCTCCAGCAGCTGTATCAGATTTTTTAGGGCAGGGCTTTTCAACCTTTTCACCCATTGTACCACTTTTAGGATATGGCAATATCCGAGTACCACCAGTCGCCTAGCAAGGTGTCAAAAACTTGATGACAAAAAAAAAGGAAAAAAGTGATAAAGTACAGGTAGTCCTCGACTTACAACAGTTCGCTTAGTGACTGTTCGAAGTTACAATGGCACTGAAAAAAGTACCCCCCAAGCCACAGCCGAGCAAGACAGCGCCCGGCGGCGCTCTTCCTCCTGTCCAAGGTTGTTGTTGTTGTGAGGCATTTCTGTTGAGGATTGGCAGCGGGGGTGGGATGGGGGGTGTTTGGTTTTTATTCCCCCCATCTGCTGGGTGGTTGCAGCAGGATTTGGTCACTTCACATGACCCTGGGACACTGTGACCGCCATAAATATGAATCAGTTGCCAAGCATCTGAATGTAAATCACAAGACCCTGGAGATGCTGCAACATTCCAGCTGATCGGCACTTCTTCTGGGCTCAGCAGAAGCTCCAGGATCAGTGCTGCTTTCCAGCTGATTGGTGCTTCTTCAGGGCTCAGCAGAAGCGCCAGGATCAGCGCCGAGCTCCAGCTGGAGCCTGGCGCTGATCCTGGCGCTTCTGCTGAGCCCTGACAGTCCTGCAGCTCTAGCCATCTCTCGCTCAGGCTTGTGCTGTGCTGCCACCGGTTCAGCTTATTCCCCTCCCCCGCTACTACTTTTCTAGGATGGTCGCGTACCACCTGCCAGGTGCCAATGTACCACAGGTGGTACCCGTACCACTGGTTGAAAAGCCCTGTTTTAGGGAGTTCTCAGTATTGCCTGTGGTATCACATGCATCTCAACACAAATTATTAAACCAGCTTTGGACAATGAAACAGTTCACTCTGTGATTTCATAAAAGCGACCATGAAGATAAAGGCCCTCTTGTTCTAGGAGTGTGAATCATGCTCACAGTGAATGGAAGCTTCTGGATTAAGGATGAGGTGAAATCCTTCTCTGCTCTTCTTAATGTATCACTTCATCTTGCAGACCAAGAGGAACGGACAAAGGCTATTGAGGCTTTCCGGGATGGCAAAAAGGACGTTCTTGTTGCAACAGATGTTGCCTCCAAAGGCTTGGATTTCCCAGCCATCCAGCATGTCATCAATTATGACATGCCCGAGGAGATAGAAAATTATGGTATGAAATAGAGGGACTCCTGGGGGGGGAGGGGGGGAGTTACCAGGTTCATTTGTTGGAATCCTTAAACATATGCAGAATTTATCCAGTGTGACAAAAAAATTTTTGTCACACTGGATAAAAAATATTTTAAAAAATATTTTTAAAAAAATTGTGAAAAAACAATTTGATCAGCAGAATTTGGCTTACTGGTCTGCTGCAGAAGTTATATCGACAGTATCTGAGTTCTAAAATGGGTTCAGCTAAAATAGGATATGAGACACCTGCTCGCTTTTCCTCTTATCGCGTATTACTGTATCTTTTAGCTTTATTACTGGGAAGAGTTCAAGAAATGAATGGCTGGGAGATGCAAAATAGCAAACGGGTGTCAGCTGCTGAGGATGCCCAAAGATTAGGAAGAAACGAGGCTCCTCCCTGCTGCCTGTGAATTTGAATTCCTTTTGTGGCACCAAACAGAGCTTCTCGTAGGCTAAGGGGGCAAGTGGTGTCATCGGCATCATTTTGCAAATATGGACTATGTTGTTGGAAGAAGAATAATAATAATAATAATAATAATAATAATAATAATAATAATAATAATAATAATATTGATAATGATAAAGTTGGAAGGGACCTTGGAGGTCATCCAGTCCAGCCCCCTGCTCAGGCAGGAAACCCTATATCATTTTGGACAAATGGCTGTCCAGTTTCTTCTTAAAAACCTCCAGTGTTGGAGCATTCACAATTTCTGGAGGCAAGCTGTTCCATTGATTAATTGTTTTCATTGTTAGGAAATTTCTCCTTAGTTCTGGGCTGCTTCTCTCTTTGGTTAGCTTCCATCCATTGCTTCTTGTCCTGACTTCAGGCGCTTTGGAGAATAGCTTGACTCCCTTTTCTTTGTGGCAGCCCCTGAGATATTGGAACACTGCTATCATGCC